CCCCGCCGGCCGAGGACCTCATGGAGGCGCTGGCGCGCGAGCAGACGCTGCGCCGCGAGGCAGAGGGCCGCCTGAGCGCCACGAGCAGGGAGGTCGAGGAGCTGAGCGTCAGCCTGTTCGAGCAGGCCAACGAGATGGTGGCCACGGAGCGCCGCGCCCGCGCACGCCTCGAGGAGCGCGTCGGCGAGCTCGAGGCGCGCGACGACGACAAGAGGAGGCGCCTGGACCGTTTGGAGGCCGCCATGGCCCGCATCGAGCGCGTCCGGAGTATTCTTGACAAGTGAACGTTGAACATTGAACATTGGACATTGGCGTGCTGGCGACTTGGACTGGGGAGCGTTGGATGGCGGGGAAAATCTAGGGTGTTTTTTTTGCTTATGTCAAATGTTTTTTTTTTGTTTCTAGAGCATGAGATACCAGGCGTTGTAACGGCATGTAGAGGACACTCCATATTTGGATCATGCGTGTATGACTAGAACCAGTGCCGTAATATCACCGTGCATGACATGCGAGATGATGCTCGTGTCTGCCTAAATAGAATACATCGACATTGCAGCTCCGAACTGCGGCTGGGTATATTCTCTAATGGCGCGCACTTCTCCCCCACGGCTAATTATTTATACACTTTATTAGCTCTTTTTTGTAGTATTTGTTTCTTTATTTATTCATTTATTTATATATGCTCTAGTCTTCAATGCCATTCCATGACTTTTCGTCATCGGATTTCGTTGCCGCTTCCAGGCTGGGCTTCGCCGCCGACGAGGTCCTGGTTGCTTTGCGGGGAGGCTCGGCAGACTCGCTTGACGGCGACCGCCCTCTCTTGTCCTGCCGACTAGGTGAATCGGCCTCTGTCGACAGGCGGCGCTTCTGCTGCTGCTTCTTGAACGGTGACGTGTCGTGGTCGGGCTTGGGGCTCGTTTGCCGTCCCGGCCAGTTGCCCTCTGGCTCACCGTTCCAGCGCGCCAGCATGTCGGCGACCTTGGGGCCCCAGACCTCTTCGCCCTTGCCCAGGTCGTCGTATTCCAGTGTGTTTGTGCCGCCGACTGTAAAGTCGCTCTGGCGCACGCGGCACAGCTCCGCCATGATGGCCGCCGACCCCAGCTTGGAGCCCAGGTCGTGGCAGAAACTTCTGACGTAGTAGCCTGATGACACGGTGAGCCGAATCTTGCACGCGGGAGGGCCCTCGTCGCTCCATGGCGGAGGTGTGCTGGAGTCAGGCGTGGCAGGAACCAAATTGGACCCCTTGTTAGAATAGACGGGCTGGGGCATTTGTCCAAGGGCCCCCGACATCAGGGCCTTGGGGTCCTTGCTGTGCCGACTTTTCTTGAGCGGGAGGTCTTTGATCAGCTCATCCTGCCGCTCCTCGAAGCGCCTCTTGAACGTCTCGTGCGCCGTTATGGCCTGGTCGTCCTGCTCCTTTTCCTCGGGCGTCAGCGTCTTGCCCGTCTCTTGTTGCTTCTTCACCCTCCACACTTGCTCGGCGAGATTTCGCTCCGCGGCCTCGGCCTCCTCCGTTGGCCACCTGTGGTTGTGCTTCCCGGGCTCGTACCACTCGACGAGCTCGACTTCCAGCGCCTCTACTTGCCTGCCCTCGATTTCCCTGGGGATAGGCTTGCCCTCTCGGGCATATTCATAAAGCGGTTTCCCGTTCATTTTGAGAGCCGAGTACAGTGGTGGGATCTGTGTCTGCTTGCCCCGGAAGCTTTCCAGCTCCTTCTCAACCAGTTCCCGGGTAACATGATCGTAGCCTTTTCTGGATAGAACCCTGCCAACTCGGTCGTAGGTGTCGGTGCTCACTCCGAAGACGACGGTCGTTTCATATGTCTTGGTGCAGTCGAGAAACTGCGACAGCACCTTGGTGCCAGTACCAATGCCCAGGATCAGCACGCCGGTTGCCAGGGGATCCAAGGTGCCCCCGTGTCCTATTTTAACCTGTGATGCCTTCTTTTCGGCCTTTCGGCGATTGAATTGTTTGCCTGACTCCTTAAGCCGTCGTGCCAATTCGGCCTCGAGCATGGGTCGGAAGAAGGTCGAAGGGTTGAAGGCTTGTTGGCACTCTCGCACCACCTGGGCTGAACTCTGGCCGCATGGTTTGTTGATGGCTGCGAGTTCGGGTTAGCAACTGCCACGGGGTGACGAGGGCCATGCTGTTGCGTGGGGCTATGCGCTGGGAAAGAATAGAAAGCGAGACTGGAGACTCACCAAAGACGCCATCACGGACGACGTCTGACGCCATTTTCAACACCTTTCCAGCTCGTCGCATGCGAGCGCAACTGGCACGTGTCGCGCAAATAAGGTAGCGATTGTGCGATTGAAGAGCCGCAGCTGCCTTGCCGGCGCCCGATTACTCGTTTGAATCGAAAGAAATAAAAAACAGGATAAGTCCGCTGCTGCAAAAGTCAAAAATTCAAAAGTCTGGGATGCCGTGTTGCTGTGATGCGGTGATGCGCCGCAAACTTTCCTGGGCGACCAAAGTGGAAACAAAAAAAAAAAAAAAGTCGGCCTGCAACCGGGGGCACCACAGGGAGGGGGGTCAAACGCAGTTCATTGGCCGAGAGGTCCTCCAGGCACTCACTGGCCCGGCAGCAGGGGCCAACCAGACCGGACCAGTTCAATCGATGTCCACTGCCAGGGTGAATTGCTCGGCAGGCTCTCTCGACTCTTTTTGCTGGGTGCGCTTGCCCGCCTACTACTTGGGTATTTATTATATTTGAAAGGTTCTTATATATATCAAAGGAATTCACTGTAAAATACATTTACTTATTATAATATATATACTATCATATAATACTATTACTATTATATGTACAAGTATAAAGTCTAATGGCCAGGTAAGTACCTGGTGAGGCGTGACTCGTGCGCGCACCTAGCAAAAAGACATCTAGTCGTGCGCCGAGCAATTCACCTGCCAAGTGCCAAGGTGGACGCTGCAGTGGATGCTGCAGCGACCCGCCCTGCAACCGCCAACTGTCACGGTAGCCCGTCAGCGTCCCAACGCTCGGTTCAAGTGGCATCGCAACATGGAAGCGCCGCCAACTTCAATGTTGCACTTGAAACTGCCCCGCCAATCGACTCAATCCGCAATCCCAGTCGCGTGCCTCATCGCAGCACTTCGCGACTTCATCTCCTTCTCCGTCCACCAACCTGCGAGACGTAGCCAGCGCCTTTCATACCATCTCCTCTTGCATCATAGCCGCCAACATGACGGGGCGCAGGCGCAGGGCGTCTACGTCCAGCGTGGAAACCGTCGATACCTCGCAAATCCGCTGGCGTCAAGAGTCCTCTGTCGTGCGATCCGTTCCAAAGGCCACCTCCTCCGACGACTGGCCCATCTTCGAGCTCCAAGATGCCATCGTGCTGGATAAAGACGGCGAAAAGATCAAGAATGCCCTTCACGCCGGCCATGAAGGCCCATTCATTGTGAGGGGCAGCCTCATCATCGATGATCCCGCCCAGAGGACGCATCGTAACATGGCCCATCCATCCCCTTGCATTCCCCCAAAGAACTATGTCTGACATTTGCCAGTCATTATGAGAGTGCGCAGCGCCACCCCGCTCGAGATTCGACGTTGCACATCCTACTCTATTGGAGAATCGCCGGATGGAAAACCGTTGATATGGGTTTCGGGCCAGGGCGGCTGGTACGAGATCGATCCATGTCCTGCCTACAAGCCCATGTATAACAAAATGTGCGAGGCAACAACCATGTTTTACAACATGCTTGACATTTATACAGATGACCCGCCGAGGAAGACCAAAAAAGTGAAAAATAGCGCCTTCACGGACGAGCTGGACCAAGTATTTCACAAGGTATCCTGGTTTTCCCTTCCCATTCGACATTGCCGTCACATTGGACTGACACCCGCAGTACGCCGCGCGCATTGGTGATGGCGCAACCCGGGAGGAAGTCCATGAAAGGGCCGACGAACACAGTGCTTTCTTTATCGATCAATTCTCACAAGATGCGGACACTTGGAAGCCAACGGCCTTTTACAAGTATATAACCACGAAGCATGTTGTAAGCTCATCTCGCTACTATTCGAGTCTCTACGTCCGTACGATGCTAACTCCTTTGCCCTTTCTCCTCTAATAGGAGCTGGGTCACCGAATCAGAGAGGCAATGGAGAAGCTGCGTCTCCAGGTGCACTCATCAGACGCAGAACACAGCTCCCGAGAAAAGGCCCGCTCCCGCTCCATCAAGAGCAGCAGCGTCGAAGTCACCGACGAGAAGGCTGTCCAGGCAAGCCAAAGACCAAGACCAGCCTCAACCGCTCCCAAAACCACCGAGAAGCCTAGCCAAGAAGCCATCCCAGCGCCAGTCCCCGTCATGCCACTCTACGTCGCGGGCGGGCAGGACGACGCCGCCGACTCGCCATTGGGCTCTGCCCTCGCTGCACTGGAAGATGTATATAGCAGTACTGGCGCCAGCAAAACTGGCATGACATATCGACAAACCCTCACCAAACTGTTCTTTAGCCGTTACTTCCCCACTTACAAAGACAGCCGCCCTGGCTCTTACAAACAGGGCGTCGAGGACGCCCTCCACTACTACTCCAAGGCTCTCGTTGAGACCCTGGACCCGAAATACCACACTCACGAAATATTCAGCGTACTTCAGGAACTGGCCACGACCCCCTTCCAACCACGAGCATACAAACCATCCGACTTCCCCATCATTCTTGTCCCCCGTAAATCACAACCTCGAAAGGGAACCGCCTCGCTACAACCTTCCATCGACCCCAGCGGCAGCACCGAAGACCACCCTCAACACCATTCTGCGGTGCCGGAAACTCCCAGGCCGCAAGGCAAACGTCCTACACGCACGCCCGGGAAATCCGCCCTGCGCCCCGTAAATCGCGCTCCGAAACGACCCCGCGATGAATTCGAAAGCGATGATGATGGATCCCCCGGCGCCAAACGCTCCCACTACTTCGCCGAAGACGACTCCATGGACGGTGCCCCCGACCTCAACTCCCAGGATGAAAACGACACGGACAACGATGCCGGCGCCGACAGCAGGGAAGCAAATTCCAAGTCCGGCATAGAACTTATCAAACTCGTCATCAGGGCCGACCGGATTCCCGATTCCTCCCCCCGCGGTCCCCACGACATGTGGACCTGCGACGAACAAGGATGCGACTACATAGTCCGAGGAGGCGACCAAGAAGAGTGCCAGCAGAGAATCCAGCAGCACTTCAGGGACCACGAGAAGCAACTCGCACGGGTCAACCTCGCCGTGACGGAGGGCGCCCGCAACCACATGCCCATCAAGTACGCCTACTTCCCCCCGTTTCTAATCCAAGTCTGCTTCGATGCCCCCTTGCCACGTCACTCCTATCCCGTACCCCCGCTACCTCTTCCTCCGCCCGCCCCGCCCCGTTCCCCGTCCTCCTTATTCCCTCCCATTGCAGCAGCAGCAGCAGCAGCGTCACAGGGCACGCCGGCAAGCACGCCAGTGTCCTCTGATCTTAGTGGATTAGCGAGGGGCCGTTTCCGCGCTCTAGTCGAGCGGTTTCGCAGAAACAACAACCCCCGCCGCGGCGCCGCGCGATCGAAAAAGTAAGAAGAAAACAGAAAGTCTAACTTGCTCCCAGCCATTTACTCGAAAAGATTAAACAGATGAGGGACGAGCAGGACGAGGGTGTGCAGCCGATTAAACGGAAGCTGATTGTCTAATGTGGCCAGGTCACGCTGTACATTACAATGCATACATGTACTTTAGAAGGCGTTCGGTTAGATATCCATGTGAATACGAAGTTTGTTTTAATCAAGTACCCTTATTGATGTAATGTACACGCCCCACCCAAATACCAACTAGACTAACCTGTACAACCCATTTCATGACGGGGGGTTTCTCACTCCTGGGCGCCGCCCGGCTGCGCCGCCGCCTCACTTGCGGCGTCGGCCGTGCTTGTCCACCGGCCGTTCTTGGCCTCGGCAACAAACGTCTCCTCTATGGCGGCTAGGCGCTGGAAAACACGGAGCCAGCGCTGCCCCCACCTCCGGATCATGGCCTCCCGCTCCGAGGACCCGTCCCCGTCCTCCATGAGTTGGTCTTTGCTGCCCGAGGCCCAGCTGGCTAGGGCGTCGTTGATGGCGGCGAACAGGTCGCGCATCGAGGAGACCTCCTTGTCGCGGGTGTCGGCGTCTGCGTCGGGAGACGTGAGGAGCTGGCGGACGCGCCCGCTCACCTTGGCGACCGTGTTGGCCACGAGCTCAAAGATGTGAGAGCGGCCGAGGGCCTCGCCGCCCTGCGTGCCGTTGGAGGGGCTGCTGGCGACGAGGGTCCAGTCCACGATGGAAAGGGGCGTCAGGATGGAGTAGTTGAGGAGCTTTTCGATGATGGTGATGGCGACGCCCGGGTGGGCGGCCCAGTAGTTCATGATGGACGAGATGATTTGGGAGCGGGCGGCCGGGTGCGCGGTGCCGACGTCGATGAGGCGGCCCTTTGTGCGGTCGATGCATGCGAGCACGTGGCTCAGTGATTTGGATCCAACCCAGCACACGGCTGTCATGAAGACATCTGTGCTGGCGACGACGGGGTCGAGGGCTTGCTCCTTGGCTTGGGCTTGGATGCTGTCGATGAGAGGCTGCATTTCCTCATCTGGTGCTTTGCGTCGTAGGAGGGCGCTGATTTCTTGGCCTTCCTTGGCAAAGGGGGTATCTGTATTACGGTTAGCCTTGTCATTTTTTTTTTTGGCCATTGATCCCAGCAGAAGGTTGACATCCCCTGGAACAGAGGATACGTATACTTACCAGGATTTGTATATTTGAAATCAGGCACGTCTTTCTCCTTGTCAGGTCCAATAAGGGCGTGGTATGGTTTTGGAAGCGTCTTTTGAATTCTTTGTGCAAAACTTAGCCGAATCTCCTTGTCCAAGGCGCCGAGCAGGAACCATTTGCACGGGTGGAGGTCAGGTAAGACAGTATCTTCGGACCACTCAGCCCACTTCCAAGTGAACCCAAAGTTGCTGAGATGATGTGAGAACCAATCCAAGAAACGGTAGCTGAGTTCAAGGTCTGTTCGTGGCGTGTTGCGGTACAGGAACCGTATGGCTCTTCCAAGACTGGGGGCAATAGCTGCTGGCGCCAGTTTGCAGGCTTCAGTCAGGACGGCGTGATAGTATACGACCTTGTGTTCAGACTTGGGAAGCTGGAAAAGCTGTGAAAAGACGGCATCCACTGCAACATCTTCGGGCTTCCATGTTGAACGATGATCGGGCTGGTTGCGCAGCTCGTCGAATGGAGTAGCCCGCTTGACAAACGTCCCGTCGGCGAAGTAGCAATCAAGATCCATCAAGAATCGAGCAGTAGCATTTCTGTTGAAGTGTAAAACGTTGATGGTGTCGGCGAGTGAATCACGGATAAGAGATGCGGCAATGTTGCTCGGGGGCGGGACCGATTCGACTTCTTGGCCACCGTACACAGAGAAGTAAATCTCCGGGAACAGCAGACGAGGCCCGGCGATGGCCGTGGGAGGAACGGCAATCGCGGGGAGTGCATGCTTGGCCGCATTCGCAAGCTTCTCTTGAACCTCGACCTCCTCTAGCGGCATTTCCCAGGGTCGAGGGATGCAAGCAAGCGCCCAGTTCTTCGACGCCTCGGCCTGCAGCTGTTTCTGGAGCAACATACACAAGTTCATTGATGCAGCGGGGCTTTCGTCATTTCCTTCGGGATGGAACGGATCGACGAGGGCTTGGAGAGCGTGTGGTTCGGAAGCAATGACGTCCGTCTTTTCCATAATGTCCGCGGCCTGTTGGATGAAATGACCTGGCGCAGCAGCCATCGCATAGGGAATGGTAAGAAGAATAATCTTGACGATTTCTGTTCCGATAACCTGCACCCCAAGCATTAACACATAAAAAAGAACATGATGCAACTTGGCAAGCCAAGGACACTTACATCATCCGAGCTTGCAGTCTGCAAATCCGCAGCCCTCATAAACAACTCCTCCAACAACGGAAAGATGCCACTCCCTTCCAAGCACCCTTGCAGGCACGCCAGCAGCTTCAGCAGAAGCTTCACCTCTCTCCACTGGCCCTTTGCGATATTCTCCTCCAGCCCAGTTGCCAGACGGGCAAGCACCACATCCACCAGTTCCGCTTTGAACGCATTGGCCACCACCACGACGGCGCCGACAAATGGTGTTTTGAGGGGTTGCTCCACGGCCAGCTGCATCACAAGGTCGACAAAGTTGTTGCGCAGGTTCTCGTCGTCGTAGTTGTCCGTGACCATTCGCGCAATGGACGTGACCTCCTCGGACCATCGGCGCAACGGGGAATCGGCAAGGCTCAGCAGTTGACGTCGAAGGCGGACCCCCACAGGCGCCGAGTCCACGCGTCGGCGCTGCTGACGGCGGTCATAGTGATCATCGTCATCTGCGTTGAGAGCTACTTGTTAGTCTTGCCGCGGAGGGGACCAAAGTAGCGCCTCTCTTGGCCAAGGGAAGACGTGCGACCAACCTCTATATCGCCTCTTGCGGTTGTTTTGCCCGCCAGACTGGCGTCTGTCATAGTCCGCCATTGCGCAGTCGCCAATAGAGCTTGCGGAGTGGTATGCTCGTGCCAATGGGTTGCCAGGGCAGGTATCGATGTGGTCTCACGAGGGCTGGCGATACTTGAGAGAGCTCAGGTTGGGAAGTGATGGCTGATCCACAACGTTCAATGTTGGCTCGAGCTCGCGTTGGTGCCTCAGGCAACCGAGTTTTACTATCACACCAGACAACCGTGACCCAACTCGCATTACACAAAGGCTCAGCTATGAAACCCACTCGTATTACGGAGCACACAGAGAGGAGAGAAAAATCAAGTCGCTTTGTTTAAAACACAGCTTCTCATGCAAATAGCTTATATGTTGATGCAAATCCCAAGGTAGGATCCAACTTGGGAATCAGAAATCCGTCCTTCCAACCTCGTGGTATATAGCCAGGTCCATAGCCGCATGCTGGAAACAGACAGTCAAGACACCATCTGTAGAATTCGTTCGCCAAAAGTAATGACACCTCAAGCAAATCCTCTTCTTTTCCTTTTCTCACTCTGATGTCAAAACTAGTACTCCTCCAGATACCAGATACGCTACTCATAAAATATTGCCCCACCCATTATCCACACCTTGTTCCGTTTCTCGTGGTCCTATGCAAGACCAGTGATGCTGAGTCCAGGCCATCTCCATATACCAATCGTTCTTCATCAACCAATGCTGACAAGACAGCCCACGGCTAGTCCCCCCATTCTCTTCTTCGTTCTTTTTTTTCGTCCCCGCCGCAACAAGAAGTCGTCAACTCAAGGTTCGTGCAAAAACAGACATTGATTGAACAAAGCAAGCCAATTCTTCCAAAACCACAACACCAAAAGAACTTGTGACACATGGACAGCGGAAGAAAAGAGGAAAAAAGCGAAAGTGATAGCCTCCCTTTGTTGTCATGCATCGGAACTTGGTCTAAAGCGTCATCATCTCCCCTCCCATTTCACATTCAGCCACCTTGGCCGTTTTTCCCAAGAGTATATAGATTAAACCCGGTCGCCCTACAGAAAAAAAAAACCGGATCCTCGAGGATCATCATGATCGCTTCTCTTCGTTACAGATTGTGTCTCGATCCAATTCCCTAGAACACACTCTCCCCAAATCCCGTCTCTCTTGGCGACTGACCGACTGTTGCACGCAAGTGTTTGCCGAATCAACCATGCCAGTCTCGAGAGCACAAAGTCCTCCTCCCGACATCTCGTTCTAGCTGTCACATCGAGCATCTTCCCCAGTTTTCCACTTGCAGCTCGATGCCGGGAGTGGATGGGGCATATGTTCCAGAGCCGCCTGATGCCGCATTAAGCAGCCAATGGCTTGCTTCCTCTCCTGTCTGCTTGTGTAAGCAATCAGTCCAGTTTGGCAATCATCTCCTGCTTCGTCATCGGCGTGAAGTTGTCGATATCAAGTCCTTGTGAGGCCAAAACCGGTTTAATGTGAGCAGGAACAAGCTGTGCGTTCAGGTGCGGCGCAATGGACAGCTCTATGGGGAAAATACGGGTTAATCACATTGACGTAGAGTAGAGTTTATGGCGAGTTAAAACAGAGCTGATGCTTACCATGTCGCGTAAAGTCGAACAGAGCAGGCAGGTCTCGGAGCTGACCGGAGCCATGTCGTGAGTCGGGCAACTTGGTGCCTGGATCCCGGAGCTCGTCGAAGAATGGGTGTACCATTGCGTCAATGGCTGATTGTCGCTCGGTCGGCGTATATTCAAGCAATCTTGCAATCAGGTCAATTGCACTCGCATCCGCCTTACGGAACACCTTATTGAACGGGTGAGGCTTGATCTGAGGAAACTTGTGCTCCATATAGTTGGGGTTCATGGTACGGATTTGCTCTCGCGTTGGCGTGCCAAGGACCTTGATAATTTCGACTAATTGGTCAATACCAGACTCGCCAGGAAACAATGGCTGGCCTAGCATCAACTCGGCCATGACGCATCCAGTTGACCAAACATCTACATTTGAAGTTAGCGGTGTCAAGTCTACTGATTACATTCCGGGATATGATTCCATACCAATCTTGGTCGTGTAGTTGGTGGCACCAAAAATGAGCTCGGGGGCACGGTAGTATCGAGAGCAAATATACGAGACATTGGGCTCGTTCTCGACAAGGATCTTGGCGCTACCGAAATCGCACAATTTAAGAATACCACTGTTAGGGTCGAGTAGAAGATTCTGGGGCTTAATATCACGGTGGCAAATTCCTTGGGAGTGAATGTATGCCAGTGCTCTAAAGAGTTGGTACGTATACAGCTTAACTTCCAGGATGGGCATGGTAGTCTTCATCTTGTTGAAAAATCGAGACGCTCGGTAGACGGTTTCAGGAACAAATTCTTGGACCAAATTCAGATAGACTTCATCTTTCTTGGGGTTGGTTAGTAAGGAAAACAAACTGCATTGCTAGTAAAGTTGGTACGTACCCTTTCACCGTTGGAGTAGTAAAAGGCTTTGAGCTGGACGATATTGGGGTGTCGGACGATTCGCATGATTTGGAGTTCACGATTCTTTGGTGCGTTAGTCGATTTGCCTTTTTTTTTCTCTCATCGTCATGTGCTCATCACCAACCTTGAATCTCTTGTCTTGTAAAACCCGCTTGATAGCGGCATCTTCTCCTGACGGAGACAGCTTGGTTTGAAACACTACACCAAATGAACCATTGCCTACAATCTTGCATTGCGTGTATTGCAAGTCCCTGGTTTCTCCTGTAATTCCATCTTGAACCTTCTCACGAATGACCTCTGTAGCACAGATCAGCAACTTGAAGACATTGTAGCAAACAGGGAACAAGGCAGGGCGAGAGTACTAACCCCCCATCCTGAGGTTGTTGAATGCATTTGGCCGATGAGACATCCTTGGTGATATGAAAACCAAAATCAACAAACTAGGGCTACCGGGTATCGACAATCAAGAACCCGGGTTGAGAGGAGATGTAAAGGATAGACTCAAATGCGGCGTACCGGGCCGTGGTGGGCAACTTGTCGAGCTGGTTAAATTGAAGAACGAGAATAGTCGGTGCACAGGGGCACAGGGACGCGCAAGACAGGCGTAGATAGAACTAGTGCCAGTGGCCAGGTGGTTGGTTATAGGAAACTATCGTCTCGGGGTATAATCGAGGCGACTGTGATGGCGGATAGAAAACGCAAAAAGAAAAAAAGGTCGAGGTCTCAAATTGCACCTATTGCAGATGAAAAAGAAAGCAGAACCAGTCAGCGTAAATGTTTCAAGTCGCTCGAGTAGCGAATAGCAAAAAGGGGGGAGGAAAAGACAAAACAAGCAAATTCGAGCATTGAAATCAGTCAAAAGGTCGCAAAAGAGCATCCGCCCGATGGTTGTCATGCTACCATGTACTTGGGCATCCTTTGGCTAGCAATCAATAGTGTACAGAAATGCTTGGGCCCAAGACAAGTATATGAGGCCGTATTCGACGCCGCCAACACGCCAAAGGACACAAAAGATGCTATGATAGCGTCGGTACGCCAAGGTTGAGTTGATACTCAAAGCACGGGCGTAGCAGCACAAGCTGTCACCAGACACCCAGTGGCACCCATTTGACAATGCCCAAGTTGGCTTCCCCGCAATTTGGATAAAGATGTAGGCAGTCTGACGAAGCCGTATTGCAGAGCGAAAAATAACAGCAAAACGCGAGCGCAAGTCGTCCAAGAATTGATAAGGATACGCGAAGGACACGGAGGGTATGATTTCTAGGTACTATGGCGAGACGAATGCGAGTGGGACGGAAGCCGAGTGCAATTGACTGCGAAGCAAATGGTGGGGTTTTGGCCATGTGCCCCAGACGCTGGGAGGATTTGCGGCGCACAATTGTTGCAAATGGCGAGCAACGGAGAGTCGAGCAGAGTGGGAAGCAGGCATAGGCAGGCAATTCCGCGTTTCCTTGTCGACGGGGGGCAGCAGGCAAGAAATTGCAACGGATGGCGCATGTGAGGCAAAATAAGCCCGCACCAAGACAGAAAGAAGGACGTGAGGGGAGGGGAGGCACAAGGAGGATGCAAACGAGACAAACAAGGGACAGAAAGAACTCACCAAAATGGGATTCAAACGGCGGCAGGAGTGCGATTCGGTCGGCAGCGTGCGTCCAGGTCGACGCAGTTGGGATCGGGAGACAAGAAATAAAATTAGGCCTGGTCGAGTCGAGCTGGCAGAGATGGGAGAGAGCAGATGGATGGGTGTTGGCGAGGGCAGCGGGTGCGAGTGGGAAGAGGTCAAGTCGACGCTGGTACAGGCACGGAGTACGGAGTACAGCTGGTGCTGATGGTGCGAATGGTCCGGCTGGCACTGCGGGGCAAGGCACGAACGAGGCGGCGGCCGATTCAAATGCTGGCTGGCTCAATGTCGAACGGGAGCTGGAGCTGGAGCTGGAGCTGGGGCTGGTGCCGGTGCTGGTGCTGGTCGAGCGGGTGACTCGACGTGACAGGCGACAGGCGACAGGCGATAGGCGACCGACTTGATCGCGGGGAGGTGAATTGCGTCGATACAACGTGTGTGCAAGTCACGACGGGCTATCTAGGCGTCGCGGGTTTCGACAAGGACGGGCGGCGCGACGCAGCGTCGGGCAGTGTCAAGCTGTCAGGCGGCGAGGCTGGTCCGATGGCAGTCGCGGAATGCTCCAAGATGGACCAAAGTCTCGATGTGTGGTGAGTTGCAGGAGAAGCAGAGCTCTTCAATGTTTGTGGTCTGGTGGTGGCCACGGCGGCGTCTGAAAGGGTCAGTCAAATGCTCAGGGTCAGGAGGGCGTGAGGCTTGAGGCTTGAGAGGGATGGGCCCCCCTCAGACCCGCTTCCACTTTGCATCTTCACTTGCGCAGGGGGGAGCTCTCGCCAAAGGACGGAGGACGAACCAGATGACGCTCTGCTGCAGTCTGCACAGGCAGAGCCTTTGTTACGCCGGGCGTTTTCGAGCTTCAAAGTTCCAGGGCGCCGGCACAATGCTCAATGCTCAATGCTCAATGTTGAACGTTCAATGTCATATGTCTACCTACGCGG